CAGCCGTCTAGAAATGAGGGTTCTGCATGAGGAGACATGGTCTTGAGAAAAGTTCGGTAAAGAAGCACGTTCACCCCAGGGCTAAGGTAAGACTTCGGGTAAAGCACCTTTCGAGGATATTCAACAACAGGAGTCGTCTTTAACGGCGATTCCCGCGACCAAGTTTTACGTGTAGTAAGTCATGAACCAGTAGCACACAAGTAAGTCCTCAGTAGAGAGAAGCGAGAGAAAGCCTTGGAAGCTTTCCAATAGAGACACCCTTAGCAGGCCGGCACTTTGGACGAGTTCGTCGGACTTGGCAAGCCCAATCCGCACTATTCGACGTGCAACCGATCCCCGACAAGAGCACAGGAAATCATCCTACGTAGCTCCAGGCAACGCTATGTACACACGCAATTTCGCTTGTAAGCCGTTGTCTTGCAGAGTGAAAGTAATCGTGGTTGCAATAATCACGCGTGTCTATGTAGCTTCCTTAACTCGCCGTTCCGAGTGGGAAATATATTCTCTGCGAATGCGGACAACGATGCCAAACGCACGGAGGCATTTCGCGGACCACTTAATCGTGGGGACCATCTTTAAGGTTTTTAAAAGGGGGGATCGTGTTTGATCTAGTGACCTCTTGACTTGCTTATTGCCAGTGTCAACAAGAAGGGTGTTATTGCCAGTGTCAACAAGGAAGGGTGTTTCGCGAAAAAAAGGATTTTTAACCAATCCGGATCCAGCAGTTTTTGAGATTATTCACCCATTATTCACCCTTATCCGGCCTTCGAAATACAGGCCACATTTTGCCTGAAAATTTTCCATTATGGGAGGTTTGGCCAGACCTTGTTCGGCGGGTAACCCGAGTTCACAAACTTGAGCACCGCATCCTACACAAGTCTACAGTCCTCATCATTGCGGACCGGTGGGGCGTGGCAGTGCGGCTGCATTTGGTGCGGTTTGGCAAAGTCGTTCTGCACCAGTTTTTGAAGCGAACAAGTGCATTACTGTATTATATCCTTCGTATTACTCGTTTTCTACCACTTTTTGTCGCATACGCGTTGCAACAAAAAGGCTGAGAACGGCTTCAACAGTGTGCGCACTCTTACTGGCTGACACGCCCCACCGGTCCGCAATGATGAGGACTGTATCTGAGGGAAAAATTCCGATCAAAGTCTGGTTAGAAATTTGAAGAGGGGCAGTAATGGGTAAGTAGTGCAGTTTTTCAAGGGAAAATTATAAGCAAGTGTGGGTGCGACGCAACAGATCAAGTTGAAATTTTTCGAGTAGGAGCAGACTCAGCTTCAGACAGCGGTGTAAGAGGTGCTGACCGGCCTTTTTTTCTGGTGTCCCTAAGACATGGTTGCAATGGCGAAACAGGAGTAGCTCTTCAGTAAAGCACGTTCAGTGGGAAAAGGGGTTACGTAAACTCTAAAAATGGAACGGTTCATAAAGGAAATCATTGGAGACATCACTGCCTCAAAAGAAAGAAAGCCTCATCTTGTGTCCCTATAAATCCATTTCCAGGCACGCCCGTGTTATCTCGGCTCGATTCAGCTACACACCATCCAGTTCGACGTTGTTTGCTCTCTCACCACTGCTACAGTACACGATCCCTGAGAATCTCGGCCTTTTCGTAGCGTCGTTGAACGATTCACAACTACGGAATGATCCACGACTTGCCGGCTTCAATCCACAACTGGCACGTCTTCAAACTGCCATCGGCAACATGCTGCACCTCATCGAGAGCGATCCGAAATGGTTCGAGAAAGTCATATCGGTGCCCCGGCCAGTGGATACCGACGTTGTGAAGGAACTGTCGGCTTTAGAGCCAACAGTCCGGCCACTCCCTCTCGTGAGGCCCATAGTGAGCCCGACTCCAGGCTCGCCGTCCAGAGGAGCCGTTGTCGTAGGCACGATGCCTCTTGCCTCTGGAAGAAGATGCAAGACACTACTTAAGAGGAGCTCTGAAGAGCGTATGCTATACGAAGTTGGGGGGGGTGGAGGGCGTTTTGGCTTCTTTCCATCGACGAGTTCATTGCTTTGCAATTATTGACAGGTGCCCTCTACAAGAGTTGACAGGAGTTCCCTACGTCCGAGGCTCGACACGTCGATGGGAAGAAGCAAAAATGCAAAACGTCTCCCACCCCTCCAAACCGATCTACGCCTCTTTTCTTTTGATAGTGAACCTCTTTACTGATGGAACCATTTTTGGAATTCATAGTTGCAGATGGGACTAGTGGAAGAGCAGCCAGTTCAGGATGATTCTTCGGCCGATTCTGCGTTCCACAGTGCGACAGCCGTGGAAGAGATACCGCCTGTACGCGAGGTACTTCAAGAATCTTGAATTTTCTCTTTTGTATTGTCTTTTTTTTCCTCACTATTTCCTCACTTTTCCTTTTCCTACGGTGGAAAGAGCCGATTATTTTGCCTTTTTATTGATGCGTCCCTGCTTTTAAAACGGCATAGGAGTGGCACGCCTTCATGGAAGGCAAACAGTTCGGGTGTCTCCACTCACTCGACTACCGCACAGCGAGGCTTGGAAAATTGACTTTTTTCAGGTGCTGGACAAGCCACGGTTATCAGATCGTACCCGGAGCGATTCGATTCATTTGCATGGTGAAATGGTTGCGGTGATCGAACCGCTAGGCGAGAAACATCAACAAGCCAACAGCGACGACTCAGGAATGGTCAGTGATCTGACCAGTGGCCAATTGTCCACCTAGCGACAGCCCACCCCTTCATATCAGCGGAATGGGCTCAATCTAAATGGGAATCGTGTTGAGTCCCTAGCAGTCGCGCTCAATGTTGAAGTCCTATATCGCCATCTTGTGACGATGGGAATGGTACTGTATGAAAGACCTTTATGTGAAATTAGTTACCGAATTCTAAATGTGGTACTAATGTAGGCTAACACCAAATATCTCCTCGCTAGAGTTTAGCTTTATAAGCATCTTAATTGTTGGTGTGATATTAGCAAAATGATCTCAATCGCCGGTTTGTTATTCATGTGTCCTGTGTGTACTGTACGTAATTGGTGTGTATTGCAATTTGAACTTGAATATTTTTAGTTAGAAAAGAGTCTGTGTACGTTCTGCTCCCTTTGACGCGCAGTCCGCGCTCGCTGTATGGGCGGAGTAAGGCTCGCCTTCCACATTTCTCACTGGTGCGTCTCTCAAAGGCACGGTCTGCGACAAGGTTTAGAAACTGAAAATATTGCCTTGGATAGGTAATGTGTCCGCAGAGCACATCCTTGTGCAGGTTTGGCGGCAAAAATCGTAAGGGAGGGCGCTATAGCGCAATATAGGTTCAGTGGCACCTCCTTCTTCCAGTGACTCCGCCTCCAGACTCCGCCTTCAGGGTCCGCCTTTCAGCTGCAGTACGAAAAAAAAAATGAAAATTGTCACTTGTACGTTGTAGAGTTCCTATAGGGAAGTCAGCTGTGCGGATGGGGGTGTACTGTTGGAGACAAAGTTAAATGGGGACGTACAAGCTGGGATCGAAATGAAGTTCTATCTAGGGAAGTTGGCATGTTTTCTTCTGCATTTTCCTTCGCTATCGAGTTGCTCAGTGTATGCACCCCTAAGCCACATCTGTGATGTCAAATGATCGCGGGCTTTGCCTTTATACCAAGGCTGAGAGTTCCAGTGAGGAAGACAAATTGATTATCTGTTCCCTCCCACATGAGCAGAGTGGACTGTGCAGATAATCGTAAGCATTATGTGACGCTTATAGCCGTTAGGGACATCCCTCCTCCTTGTCCCTCAGTCTCTTTCTTCTGTTTCGCGGGCTTCACAGTTCGGGTTTACCTACGGCACCGCAGCAGCAGGTTCATGTGTATTGACTACCCTAAGAATTTACAACTGTTCTAGGCAAACTACATACAATCCTGTATAAAGCCACCTATGTAGTTTTTGTTTTTTTTATGGGTTATTTGTCATTCTGCTTTGAAAATAAAGCCGGAAATCCAATAAAATTTTAATGCAGTTATTTTAATGCGTCGCATTGCACGAAACTACACAATACCGATTTTGCTATCTTGTCAACTTGTGTAGAGCTCTTTAGAAGTTCCAACTGGGGAGGGGAGGGGGGGGCGGTAGGTGACAGGAGAATCGTAATTAGCCGTGTTGATGGGCATCGCGTCCACAAATGACGGTAATCCAGGTCGTAGATGCGTCAACGGCAGGGCACATCGTTGGTTGGGGAATCCCCAACAGGGGGGTCGTATTTGGCCGCCAGGAGAGGGGGGGGTCGTAGTGAGAGTGGCAGCCAGTAACGAGCAGCGCAAATTGTCAATGTGCTGAGTCCTGTACAGCGAAACTTGCTTTGTAGAGAACTCGGATATGCAAAAAATAGTACAAAACTTTCATTCATCAAACTAATCCGAAATATTAGGTCGTTCGGAAAGGAGGGAAATGCGCGTTTGAGTGTAAAAAAATTTTTATTATAAAAACGAAATTAAACAAGGTCAATCTAAAGATAATCTCCATTACTAGCAATGACTTGTTGCCAACTGTACGCAAAAACTTCGCCAAAAGAGCCTCTTTCACTACTTTTCCCCTCGGCGTGTACTTGTAGGCCTTTCGACCGAGTAGATTGGATTTGTGTAGGTCAAAAGAGCCTCTTTTTGCCAGTTTTCTCGCCGAGTGTGTCGCTAGGTCCGCCCGCTGCCCTGTGTGAGCCGAGTGGGTCATTAGGTCCACCCAAGTGCGTCGTTAGGACTTGCTTGAAGTCTTACCACATACAAGCTCGCATTCGAAATTTTTGGTCGAGCATTTTCTAAAACTTTTTTCTCTAAAAAAAACAAGGTAGACATAGGAAAAAAATATATCAAAAGAATGCGCAATAAAAACCTCTCTCTAATGGACAAAACTGTTTTGAAAAATCTCCTATAGTAGAAGAGAAATAAATAGACAAAGTCAACGCGCATTCCTTTCCGAACAACCTAATAACTGCAAATATTAATAAGTCGACATTATCTCGTAAGTCCGTTGGTGACTAAACAGTACAACTCAAACTCTGGTTCGCTGCCAATGATATGGCGTGTCCGCGGTCGCGCTTGGCGCTGAGCCAACCTGTTTTTTTCTCGACAAGCGACGGGACTACTACCATCATATTTTTTCCCCTTTTTTTTCGCTATAGACGTTTTTCCAGCAGGTTGGTCTACTTTATCGGAGTCAGCTTATTGGCGGAAGCACGAATCTTGGGCAGCGTCGACAGGCGACGATGTTCATCAATAACGCAACGGAAAAAACCACTGTAAACAAGAGCCACAGTCCTATTGGACCTCCCTGAAACGCCTATAGATATGCCGCGTGGACAGACATTACGCACAAGTTACACCATCCCATCACTTCTGCGCGGACCTCAGTGCGCGGCGCATCCAAAGTCAGCGTGATCGGCGCTAAACGAACCACATCCTGCTCCTGCTCCACCACAGGATACGTTCTACATGTATTTCTGGCTATTCGAACACGCTCACTTGAAACGGTACAGGAAACGGGTTTTTCGCGCAGCTGGGAGTGTTCCACAAGAAATCCCCATCGCGAGATCTCATGAATCCCGAGAACTTCAGAAACAGTTCAAGAGGTTTTTTGAAAGAGAAAATCTTCAAACACTCGAAACCGTTCTCAGATGTGACATGTTGAGTTACAAAAAATATATTGATTCAAACCTGCTGTTGAAATCACTCCCAGCCGTGCAATCCCCTGGGGCAGAGGTCTCCTGTCTTTTGGTGCACTTCATAAACGTTTCAGTACTTTTAGGAAGTGCAAACCTTCCTCTACACGAATACGGTCTCCTCTTCCCCACAGGTCCGCTTTTGAGGAAGTTATGGTCCTTCAAAAACACCCCACTTTGCTGAAAACTCGCGTTCCACATGGCTGGTCCCTGCGCAGAATCTCTCCCCCGGTACCTTTAATCAGCTGTTGCGGCTGGTGTTTGCGTCTCGTTCGTATTTACTCTTTCGTGTTTATCTTCTTCTCGGTTTATTCGAATATCGAATATTTATCTTCTTCTCGGTTTACTCGAATATCGAATATTTATCTTCTTATCAGTTTACTCGAATACGCGTCAGAGCGCGCCCCAGCAATTTTGCTTGGACCGCTCAGAGTGCTCTTAGGAGAATTGGCTTGATTTCCTGTTTTTTTTCTTTTAATTGCAATTGATTTAGGTACCAGAGTTTGTTTTGACTCGAGGGAAGGTGGGTGAAACCTAATGGCCTTTCTTTTCTATAGTAAGCGAGCGCGCACCGCGGAAGCTGCATTTCCTGCTTCTGTCGTAAGGCTGTCTATTCACTAAAGTTTATCCTTAAGGCATCAAAGGAATACATGAGATCAGCGTATGAATGGCATTTACAAACAGTACATTAAATGGCGAAGATCCACTACATAGACTAATAGGCACGACAATTACACGACAGACTACAGGAGATCAACAGTTCTGGATGAGGCAGGGCTTCGCCCTGAAGGCACTGAGAAGAAGCTCGAGCGTCCTCGAGATCGGCAGATGATCGACTGTCGTGGAGATGTCGGCTCGTCCTCGCCTCGCCGTCACGCCCTGAAAGTACAGCCATGAGTCATTCCCCTGGAACGCCGATTCCACGCCTGAGCCGGCGTGGCTTACACCTCCCCCCTTTACCGAAAGTCCGTCCCGGACTTTAAAAGCAGAGACGGTACAATAAGAAAAAGTAGCTCACCAAGTCCTTCAACGGGGAAGGGTAAGATACTGGTCTATGGCACTGGGAGGAATGACGGCGTTGAGAGAGTCGGCCCATTCGAGGACGCGACGCCACGACGGAATGGTCCGGAGAGACGCCGCGTGACCAAAAATGAAGAGGCCGTGACGGCAGCGCGACACCGCGACGTTGAGACGACGGTAGTCATCAAGAAATTCGCCCGAATCTGGAGAGAAATCGGTTTTAGTGGTAAGTAAAATGACTACCTCCTTCTCTCTGCCTTGAACCGAGTCGACGGTGGTTAGTTCGACTTGTAGCGCGGCGAGAGCTCCTTTCATCTGGCGATACTGTTCCCTGTAAAATGTAATTACACAAATACTGGAAGCGGGTATGCCTTTGCGGATGAGCTTATGGATGAAGCTTCTGCACTCGTCAGCCTCAGTGTCGTTATAGAAGGACTTGCTGGGGGCGCGACTGGAATGACCCACGATGTCCACAAAGATGAAAGGGACATCGGCAGTTGGGAAGCGCATGCGCGGTCCAACAAGAGACGCCGAGCGCGCGCTGGAGTGCCGCTCACGAGAGCTCCGTCGTAAGCGATGCGGTTAGGGAGCTGTACCAGCGCGGGATGTGACCTGAATGTGGTAACGAGCGGCGCGACGGGCACCGCAGGCGCGCTGAGCAAAATGCTCATGACGCTGCGAGCACCAAAGAGAGCGGGGTTGGACTCGCGGGGACACTTGGCGTGCGGGGCGAGCTGGTGCACGTCGCCAATGTAGACGTGCCGCGCGTCTTGCAACCGGGCAATTATGGTGAGAAGCGCCGGTTCGGGAATTTGGGACGCCTCGTCCCCAATAACGCAACGGAAGGACTGAACGTAGCGCTTGAATATCCCGCTTGTACCCTCAGTCGAGTTCAAGAGGGAGGACGTGGTCATACAGATTACATTGGGGCGGTGAATCTTAAACAGGAGACGGACCATGCGCTTGAGTGTACGTGAAACGTACTGCTCGGCGATCTCATACTCTTGCTTGTCGTCATCCGACATAT